AAATAAGTTGTTCTAAGTGAATTGATGGAAGTAAAGTAAGACAATCCCTTAGCATTCAAGAAACTTTGTATGTGCCGCTAAGTCAAGGGAATCTTAGGATTAAGCAAGATGGAAAGAATTGGGGTATTTACCACCTTATGAGAGATTCAATCTTTCGATGGATAGATACCATATTCCTAGTAGTGTGTACGTAATACTCAGAGCCAATGTTGGAAGGGAAACCTTTTCTAAACTATTATGCAATTTTATGGTTGTGTATACCTGCTCCTTGAAATATGAGATTTATTTTCCCTTGGTTCCCAAAATTAGGTGGATGTTGATAAATTTTAACCTTGCACTTTTACCAAATAAGTATGAATGGTTGGTGGTAGGGATGAGCACAGGTAACGAGTAGACGCAGAACCGATAGGTACCCGGACCGTCAGTTCAAGTAGGAATCAAAACCAGCCTTCACAAGGTCGATTCCAGTTCTAAAATGGTGGAATAGGCACTGTGTGGGTTCGGTTCTAGTTCCACCACATGCCAGGCCTAGAATCGATTCATTATCTCCTAAGTGCATTTTCAAAATTTTACACTCCAAACAAATTTATTAACCCACCTTTAATCTAAATCTACAAAATTGAATCAAAAATAAATTATAAAACCTAATTAATATCCATCCTTCAATCTCTAAATTCACCGAATCCAATTTCTTAAGAAAATTAATAATGAACTGAAGCAATAAAAAAATTGAAGCTTTATAGTGGTGGCCAAACATCAGATATGGGCTGTGGTGGCAAGATTCAACCATTGTCTAGGTGCAATTGGAGGAGATGGAGAAAGAGAATGGGAAATAAGGAGGAGATGGAGAAGGAAGAAAGAGAGAAGAGAAGAGAGAAAGAGAATAAACCATAGAAGAAAGGAGGAGAGAATATACTAGAGAAACAAGCAGGAAGAGGAAATAGAGGAAAAAAAAAAAAACATATAAGAAAGGAAGAGGAGGAGAAGAGAAGAAGGAAAAGGAAGAAGATGAAGGATGAGAACAATGGAAGAGAGAAAAATATGAGGAGAAAAAACTTATTTAGGGTTTTTATAAAATCTGAAAGTCACTAATACTGTTTATAAAAAGGAAGAACTACAAATATACCTAATTATTTATGGTATTTGTAATTTTTGTAAGCAGATGGGATTGTATTTGTAATTTTATAGGGTATATTTGTCATTTTTAAAAATAGTAGNCCCCCTCCTCCCATGCCACCTTTGAAGGAGAAATCAGACATTGGAGCTGGACCTCCACCACCTGCACCCCCTCCTCCCATGCCATCTTTGAAGGAGAAATCAGACATTGGAGCTGGAACTCCTCCACCCCCACCCCCCCCTCCCCTGCCGCCCTTGAAAGCCAAATCAGCCCTTGGAGCCTGGACCCCCCCCCCCCCCCCCCCCCCCCCCGCCCCGGAATGGGTAAAGTTTTTCTTTTATACCTCGCCCAAAGACCTAAAACTTTCCTAAAATAAAACTGTGCGTTTGAAAAAACTAAAATGTCCATTTAGGCAAAATGTCCATATAAGAAAGGACATTTTGCCTGAGTCCAGAAACTCCAATTCGCTCATTATTTGCTCAAAATGTCTATTTTGGCCTGAAACACAAAATGTAAAGAATTAAGTAGTAATTCAGGCAAAAATGAACTAAGAAGTATCTACAATCCGACCGAAAAGCCTAATAAAAACAGTATAAATCTCGGATTATCAACCACGTACCTTGAACTAGAACATGTGTTTCAGGTTTCGATTCTAGGAATTCAAGAACCGAAACTGGCTGGTCCGATTTTGGTTCTGGTTCCAATGCTAGGAACCGACTAGTTCCAAGTCCGGTTCCGATTCTGGTTCCGGTTCCCTCAAATTTTGCCAGGTACTCGAACCCACTCACCCCTAGTTGGTGGGCTTTGATGAGGCTTTTTTCTTGTGGATGGGAACCAATGGAAGAGAACCATCCTTGGAGAAAGAGAGCCACATTTACTAACTGGTACGAATTCAATGGAGCTTTATGTTATGATTGTAGTCTACACTTTAAAAATTATAATTTACTAGGGAAGTCAATAAAAATTATTCAAACGATGCTTTTCCACCAAAACATCAATAACCCTAATTGATTAGGGCTTTTGTTTAGACCCTTTTTTTCAATTTCAAACTTAATTAGGGTTTCTTTTATACCATTTTCTCCAATTTCAAATTTAATTAGGGTTTTGTTTACACCATTTTTCCCTAATTTTATTAATTATATCCCTTTTTTTTAGTTTCAAATTTGAAACTTACTTTTTCTTCTTTCGATTTTGATTCATGCCGTCGTGTAATTAATTTCTCCATAACTTTATTGAAATGTTGTGGCTCATTTCTCCTATGACGTGTGTACTCATGTATATCTATGTTTACATTACTATAGTGGAATTCTCTCATTTGTAGATATAAGCACGTTATGCTGAACCACGGTAAATATGGTGTCTTTTTTTTTTGTGTAATTTATATTCATATGTTATTTATCTTGATTTTTTTTCTACTACAAGGTCCCTAACAAACTTTAAATATATTTTCATCAAATAAAGAAATATTTAATATATAAAAAAATATGGTTCAATGATTTAAAAGATTGAGAGTGAGGATTTGTGTAAAAATCAAAGACTAAAAGCTAAAGTAAAATTATAAATAAAGTATGAGTGTAATTAGAAATTATTTTATCATTTCTAATAATTTTCATTAACGTTAAGAATAATGCTACATTTACACCACTCTTTTACACCATTTTTATTACATCATGATTTGGCATATGTCACAACCACATAAATTTTATTATAATATTAAAAATTTATGTAGTTGTGGTATATACCATATCATGATGTAATGAAAATTGTGTAAAAGAGTGGTATAAATATAGCATTACTCTAAGGTTAAAGCTGTCAAGAGAAAAAACATTTAAAAGTGGAAGGATATTGATTAATTTGATGGTTCATTTTCTGTTTACAATTCGTGGGCCTAATCCATTAACCTTGGCCTATTCCAATAAAAAGTTAAAAGTTGTACTCTTAAATTAAATATTTGATGGTGAAGTGACCATGGGTCTGGTTTATTGGTAATTTTAAACAGAAAAAAAAAAGACTGAGGGAATTTTATTTCAATAATAATAAATTATATAAATAAAATTAAAAACTCAACCTTATTTGCTTAGACGCACTTTATTTTATGCAAACGGTTTTCAAATTGAATGATATTTATATTAGTAAAAAAATAAATGTGTCACTGAGTAACAATGGACCAAAACAACATGGACTAAAAATTTTGAATGGATAATTATAATAAACGTTAACTTCAGTTGTGGTTAATATTGTGTTGTTTAGTGAACAGAAGCTATTGGGTGTTAAGCATAAAGGAATATAAAAAAGGTTGGTAGTGTGAAACCTCCTTGTAGTTTTCACCGATCCACGAAAGATAAGAGGTGCTTATGGCCGTCTCTTATAGGGAGAAAACTACAGTATTATTTTCTCACATAAGATTCCATTTTAGCTTTTACTTCAAGACCATTTGTCTCTTATCATCAGCACATACTGTATTTACCATAACATCCTCCATGCCCTTTATTGTATGAGACTATGTACTTAGAAATGGCAGTATGAAACTCGATCCTGTGGTAAACTTTCTTTGTGAAAACAGCTGGGTCAGTTTGTTTTGCTTTATGTTCACATTTATGTACCATAAAAGTGAAAATAATTGAAAACCCCATCACTTACAACATTATTACAATAACATTAACTAATTAATGTCCATACAAGTATTTCTTATCTTACTTTCTCCAAAAGCAAACAAAATTATATCACGTTAGTATGGTGTAGCAAAATTTCTTTAAAAAAGGTAATTTATATTATTAGATGAATAATATTTCACGCATAAAGTGTGTATACTAAAATTTGAGAATTGACGAATTAATATAAAATATGAACTTAAAAATACAATAATTAAAGTTGATAAGAAGGAAATTAGTAAATGTTAGGAATGAATTCAACAACATCATTACTCATGATTAAGCTTTAAAACAAAAAGAAACGGCCATAAATCTATGTAATTTTTAACTTTAGTCAAAAAAGAAAAAAAAAATCATTAATTAAGAATCTAGTAATTTGCTTAAATAAAACTACATGATTTATACCTCGTTGGCACTTCCACCCGTTAAACATCAACAATTTTAGATGTTAAATTTTACATTAAATAAGATATTGAAACTTAAAAACTGCATGATTCATTACTTACTACCCTGATGTAAGACATAGTAAAGAAGAAAAAACGAACAATTAGGAGAGTATTTTACCATTTTTACCATGTTCTTTATATAGCAATAACTGCGCTCTTACTCTTAGAAAAGAAACACTCACTACGAGTATATCCAATCCCTTGTCATTCGAACCATATCTTTTTGTTGACTAACTTCAATTTTTGTTTATTGTTGTTGATTTGTAATGTAGGTTGTTTATTTGGTTGTTTTAGAGTGCTATGGTGTTGGATCTATTTATATATATTTTTTAATATTCCATAACTCCTCCACAGTTGTTTTGCAAGTATGAGATCGAAATTAAGGTTCCTATCAGACTTTTTTGCCCAGGTGCCCATGAGGGTGTGAAATCATCATAATACCCCTTTTTTTTAATTAGTGATTTTTGGAAGATGTTAGTAATAAAGGTGATAAGTGATAACTTTTCAAACAATGTTGTGTTAAACGCTAAAAAGGCCTATAGGTAACACAAGTTTATAATAATCCTAAAACCTAAGGGTAATATATATATATTAAAAAAAAAAACCTTTATCATAAACCTAGGACATTAAGCAAGGGCACTTGGGTCAATAAATTTTGTTATGCCAACTCATATTTTGGACAGTCCTTCCTGGCCCCCACTTAGCAATCATAATCAATTCCTAACCAAATATAATAACACCTGAAAAACCCCTCACAAAACCTGAACAAAAAGAACATCCGTCTGTCAGTTCCTGTTCTTTAACCTTAAAAATGACTCTGACACCAAAATCTATTCTCACTCTTTTTCTCACTCTTCTTCTTCCTTTCACCATTACCTCCTCCTCTTCCATACAAAATCTCCTTCGGAGCCAAGGCTTACCCGGCGGTCTCTTCCCAAACAATGTCAAATCCTACAGTTTTGATTACCAAAGTAGTCGGTTGGAGGTGTATCTGGAAAGTCCTTGTATGGCCAAGTTTGATAGTAGAGTTTACTTTAACAGTGTGGTGAGAGCTAATCTCAGTTATGGTGGGCTAATAGGACTTGAAGGTCTTGCTCAAGAAGAGCTCTTTCTTTGGCTCCCAGTTAAAGGTATCATAGTCAACGATCCGTCTTCTGGGCTCATTTTGTTTGATATTGGTCTTGCTCAGAAACAGCTCTCGCTTTCTCTCTTTGAAGATCCTCCTGTTTGCAAGCGTCAAGGTACCTTTCTCTATTTTTCATATCTCGGTTTGTTTGGTACTTGATTTCATTCAAAGCCTGTAGATCTTACTCTCATCCTGTGTACTCATTTTTTCCATTTGGTTGCTGAGAAAATAGAAGAAAATCAATCTCAATTTCTTTCATTTTTTAATTTTCAGTTCTCTTTCCTTATTGCCCTTGCAAATAAAAGTGACCGATCAACCTCATTTAATGTTGTAAATTCATTTGCAGTTGTATTTGTATTTCTCAGAGTTTTTCATAACTGTTTTCTGTTTTAGATAAGAAACATACTGTCAATCTTTGAATTCCTTTTTTCTCAAATTTTTCGTTCTCTGCAACCAAAATTTTATTCATTTGGTACCTTTTTTTTTTTTTTTTTTTTTTTTTTAATTATGGGGTCAGGGTTGTTAAAATAATTGAAAATAAATTTTGAATGCAGGTGCTTCACTAGAAAATGTTGGGAGGAAGATGGGATCTCAAGTTCAGAGATGAAAGATTAAGCTTTACCATTGCAGAGTTAAAGTTGTGNTGCTGATAATACCAGTGCTATTCAGATTGTTGCCAATCCTGTTTTTCATGAGCGCACCAAACATATTGAAGTGGATTGTCATTCCATTCGTGAAGCCTTTACTCGCCAGGAGATTACTCTTCCACACATTTCCACTGAACACCAAACTGCTGATGTCTTCACCAAGGCTCTCTCTCGTCCTCGCCATCAGTTCTTGATTGACAAATTGATGCTTCTTGATTGCCCAACATCAATTTGAGGGGGGATGTTAGCAGAATTAACAGTTGGATATGTGCTGGCCTAGTCTATAAAGGCAGCATATATTCTATCCTTTTTTAGTCTAGCTATATATAGAAGAGTATATTGTATATATGCATAGAATTGATAGGCGTTGATTCTTACCTTGCATAGTCCTGTGTAATGGCTGATTTTCAGCCTTGTAATTAGCCCGACAGCTTCTTTATAAAGGGAGCAACTCTCACAAGGAGATATACAGAAAAAACCCATATCGACATGGTATCAGAGCTCTTGTTTTCTTTTCGGTAATTTTTTTTTTGCGTCTTCCTTGGTGGCTTATCGACAGTTTTGGTATTCCCTCGATTATTAACTGACATAGGCATTCAATGATAACTTCTTGATTGTCTTTTTCACTCATGAATGTGTTTTGCTTGATTTAAAAGGAAAAGCCAGTTAATTTCTACATAAAGAAAACTTATACGTACTTGATCTCAATCAAGTGATGTTTAGATTGAAGTGAAATTGCTGGTTACTATTGCTGAATTGTAATGCAGTAGCATATTTTGCTCAGCAGAGATGTGAGGTGGGATGAAGTATGACTGCATTTTGGTAGTGAGATTCAGTAATGCAGTACCAGCACCAAATTGTTCCCTAGCAAAACTAGAATACACATTCTTTTATAGCTCTATGAATTTAGAAGTTGGATAACTTGATCCTATCAAAGGAACAGACAGAACCATTAATGGTTCAGTGGGGCACAAGTTTTTGTTCATCAAGTTTTCCGCTGCCCGATTCAAGGACAAGTTTCTAAGGCGAACTTCTATTCCAAATTTAATTTGGTAAAACTCACATACTTGGTTGTCTTCTTCAAATTTGATATGCATACATTATATGGTTATGTTAGGTTAGATCATGAAGTTCTTATGTTTTTGACTGCTTGAGCCCATGATTGGAATCGTTCTATTTGCGTATTACATATTTAAGTTTATTCACATAGCTGCAGATATTGGAGTTTGCAATTAGCATTTTCCTATGTTAAGCAGACATTATCAGGTCTTTAATTTGCTTTGTGTGTCAACTGAGACCGTGACATTATCACATTTTAATGGTTAAGTAATCTAAATCAAACAAGGAGTCACAGGAGCTCAAAATATAATCTTTATCTATCAGATATCCGAAGGAATGAAAAATCCAGAGCTACAATCTGATAGAACACTGATAAATGATCACATAATTGAAAGTAAAAGCTTAAGCTTGCATGGTACCCACTAGTTGAAATTAGGAAATGATAGACAATATCCTGATAAAAAATGACAAGAAACCAACACTTTGTTCCATTACATGGTTTCTACATCTCTTCTTGCCAATCAAATGCATGGAATCAACTACTAATATTAATTCCAGTATTCTAAAGCTGAAATAGCATCTCAAGTGAACTGAACAAAGCCTTAATTTCCTTAGTAAACATTCTCACAATGTTTAGAGACTGATAATTAGAGTAATAGTTACCCAGATTCTTCAGCTTGCTTGGGCTCCCTAATTATTTGCCCCAAAGCAATTCATGGTCATTGATCTACTTGACAAACACAGTTTAAGAGGTGGGTATGAACATAATCTGTTGTGAGTCATAAACAGAAAAATTAAAGCAATTTTGCAATTATTAACTTCTCTCCTTCCGTTAAATGGCTGAGAAAAAACAAGAGTTGTTCTGACACTCATCAACTTTATTACTAATATTTATTAATAACCAGAATTATATACTCATAGCTTTAGAGTATTATCGACCATATATTATACTTAGCTAAGTTTTAATACATTAAAATTACTAGTGCAATCCAAGGTAATTAATTATTAGATAAATCATCTATGTATGATATTTGAAACACCTTGTATTTTCTTAAGCAAAGAATGTTTAATAACGCTGCTACATGTTTCTAATGATCTCTTGAAGCAACTTCTTGGTCTGCTCCACTCCAAGCGCATTGCCATAAATCCCCTACAGCCACAGTAAACTTTTTCATTACCATTGTTCTTGAGTATTGCAATGCATGTATTTCATAGTTCTTTACCATTGTTTTCCAAGAATTACTTCTAAAACTAAGTCGCATCAAATGCTTGTTCTTTGTGACATACCTTGAAACAGGATGAAACGAGAATCGCTCCTTTAGAGGTAGTAACATTGGTGTCAGTAAGTTCAAAGCCAAGGGAAGTCGAGGCCTCCAAAAATTTAGTGATTCCACCTCTTTTCTTCTCAAACACAACCCTTATCCAAAGTTTATTCCCATCAATACCGGTCACCTTAACATCTTCCTAAACTCAACATAGCAAAAATAGTAGCAAGCTAGTTATATAATGCATGCCTCAAAAACATAATATTGTGTGACTGAGGATTTAGGCGTATTTTTGGTTAAAAGTTGAACCTTTATTCCGTATTTTTTCATCTGCTCTGAAGCATTGATCTCATCTCTTGTTGGCTCCTCATCCTCTTGCACGGATAATGAGTCCATTTCTAGAAGCTGGTCGCTAAGAACCTTGACATTCCTCTGCAGCATCTGGATGTAAGTAATGGCGTCCTCAACTATGGTTGCTTTGTTCATCTAATCAAACCAAGAAATCATAATAAGAAAAACATTAAATTATTATTTAACTACTATTAAAATTATTTCAATGAGAGAATTCAAGAATTTTGTATGAGTATTTGGTATTTGCATTGGTAATTATGGGGACTAATGAACGCAGAGCCAACAGCCTATCACCGAGTTTCTGCCTCCTTCGTCTCTCAGCATGGAGGTTCTTGGATTTGTACATGGAGTTGTCATCATAGACTTGTCTCCTCCGCGCCTGAGCAATGCATAATGCATCAGAGGCAGATCCTAAAAATTCCATCTCTGGAGAAATGGTCTCTTCCATTACTTAAAGCAGCAAATGAAGGCTGCTTCTCAAGAGTGAGTTAGTTGTGTGGTTTCTTAGGAGTTATAAGCATTATTTTCAGAGTGTTTAGAGAAAGAGTAAATGGTCCCAAATTCCAACTGGTTGTTGTGTCAGTTGTTGTACATTGAAAAAAAAAAATTGTAACTGAACAAACAGATTAGTTTCAATATCAGTCTAATAACAAAACATGTGTCACCGAATTGGCTTCAAAGAAAATGGTTGTACACTTAGTACTCATAATTGGGTCATGCTTTAGGATTACAATAAGTTACCCAATGAGCCAATGGATGGCCAGGATGCTTCAAGTGAAAATATATTGAGCTAAGAGGTTTTTTTTTATGTTTTTGTTGCTGTTATCACCTGGCCATATTGTTATTGATCATAAAATACAATTTGTATGAGACTCAGACACATATTCCCTTCCACTAAAGTACAATTTTATTCTTTAAAATGCTAAAGATGTGTTAATTTGCGGTTGTTAAGGCGTATTGTGAGATGTGTTCATTGGATTCAGCGACTAAGTTGCTCGATGAGATGGAGAATAAGGGTGTGAACCCGGATAGGATCACGTTTAACACTCTTTTATATGCCTTTTACGTGAATGGACAGTTTGCGGATGCTGAGATGATATGGCAAAGAATGGTAAATAAGAATGTTACACCTGATATTAGGAGTTATAATGCAAAGTTGTATGGGTTGGCAATCGAGAAGAAAACAAAAGAAGCTGTTGAGTTAGTTGAAGAGATGAGGAAGAAGACAATTAAGGTGGATGTCTTTAGTTTCAATGCTGTGATAAAGGGGTTTGTTAATGAAGGGAAGTCGGAAGAAGCTAAGCGGTGGTATGATGATATTGAGAAGAGTGATTGTGCCATAAACAAAGGGACTTTTACAATACTCGTTCCCTTTGTTTGTGAGAAAGGTGATTTGGAGTTTGCTTTTGAACTCTGCAAGAAGATTTTTAGTAGGCGGTGCCTTGTTGATCTGGAATTGTTGCAGCTTGTTGTGGATTCTTTGGTTAAGGAATCCAAGATTGAGGAGGCAAAAGAGTTGTTGGAGCTTTCGAAGACAAATGATTACTGTCGTTACAATCTGAAATTATCTTCAGAAAAGTAATCCAATGTCTTTTAAGCTTTTGTTCTTCTGTTTATTTTCTTATAGATTAGATCCTTGTGAGCTTTTAGCTCGTTTAGTATCACTGCCAAATTTGTAGAAGTATGGCATTGAGTTTTTCTCCATGTTTTGCATATCCATACTGATGCGGAACTGTTTTAATGTTTGAGTTATTTATGCTTTAATGTATCCAATAAACTGGAAATTTGAATATCAATTGTGGTATGGAGTTTTTGTTTGGATGGTATCACTGTTGTTCACATGGTATAATTTTGGTCAAGTGTAATTTTCTTTTTGAAGTTTTCTCCACTTTTAGCATCTGTGAGCTTATTTCAAGAGGAAAAACGAAGATTTAGGCTTTCATAAGGAGTAATACTACACATACAATATTTTTATATAAAATTTTTCATATAATATGATATTACAAAAGATGATCGAGTAAAAATTTATTTTTAATTTAAAATCAATTAATCATCTTTTATCACATTATGTTGTATAAAAATGTTGTATGTATAGTATTATGCTTTCGTAGAAGAGTAGGCATGCTTTTAAGCTTTGTATAAGATTTTTAGTAGACTTACATGAGCCACTAACAGCACATTTAAACACTAATTGGTTTTCATATTAATCATTCGCTGCCTTTTGGAACTCTTGTATAAGTTTGACCACTGACTTCCTAGAGCTTCTCGAGCTTAAGCTTGGGTTGTTTACCTTTTGGAATGGTATGGAAAGGGACTGGAGTAGGAAAAGGAATGGGAATGTCAACGATGAAAGGAGTTGATTTAGATTACCTTGTTTGCTTTGTGCAATGGTGTAAATTATTATTTTTTGATATTATATGTTTTAATCGGCAAATGACAGACACTACCCTAATAGTTTTATAATTTATCACTTAAAATATAACTATTAGCATTTTCTTCAGAAACTATGTTTATAGTTTCATAATTCTTCATTCAGAATACAACTATTTGCATTTCCATCGGAAACCACCCTGATAGTTTCACAATTTATCAATTAGAATATAACCATTCATATTTTCATCACAAACTATCCTTGTAGTTCCTTTTTCATCACCTAAAAAAAATATAGTTGTTTACATTTTCACCATGAACTATCTTTGTAAGTTTACTCACGTATTTATCATTTTTTTTTAATATCAAAATTACAATAATATCTTAAGGGTTTTGCATAGACACCAAATTCAGGAAGGTTCATTTGAATGCAAACTTATGCCTTTAGATCTTTGATTAAATTATTATTTATATTATTTTAAAATGAAAAATTATGAAGTTAAATGTTTGGGTCATAAAGGACAACGTCAAAATTTTATCACTTTAATATAGAAAAATCAGTAATTCAATCTAACATATAAGGGCATATTTGACATTAAACTTTAAATTGAACCTTTTTTACTTTAATGGAAAATAATAGAATTAGCTTAGACAGATACTTTTCAGATGAAAATGTATATCTTTTCTAGGTGATAAATTATGAAACTCTAGAGGTAGTTTATGATGAAAATGTGAATGGTTATATTTTAATTGATGAGTTATGAAACTACAGCGTAGCTTTCGATGAATATACGAATAGTGGTATTTTGAGTGATGAATCATGAAATTTGAAGGATAGTTTCAACTTTCAAATGAAAATTGAAGGATAGTTTCAACTTTCAAATGAAAATAAGCGTAGCTTTCTCCATCAACAAAGCTAGGTTCTGAAATTTTAGCTTCTTCGATGTTGATACTTGATTTTGACACCAACTAAACACACGTGTGCAATGCTGAGTTGGCCTAGAAGACACACGTGAATGGGGGTATAGAGATGAGTAGAAGCTGGGAAACAATATTTTAAAGTGGTTCGGATGCTTAGACAAGCGACTCCTACGTCCACTGGTATTGTGTTAATATGAGGGGTTAGGTTGCATTCAGCGAGCTGACTTACAAGTAGTTACAAGAGAGAGAGAATGTGTGTATATGCTATTCCAGAGAGAAATTAGCTAATCAAGAGTAAAATGAGCAAATCCCACAAACGGGAGAGGAGCTCTCTATTTATAGTGAGATGAATTGAGGTAATGATTACTAAATCTGGGAGTGGATTAGGTTGCCGTGTAAATCCTTCCTTGTGTCTCGTTGTTTACCTGCTTGAGCGACTCACGTAACGTGTGCAGAGATTAGACACGTGGAGCGCCTCTAGCCTCTCGTCATTCTGGCACGCACCCACAGCACTGGCAGGAGCACGCTGTCATGTCAGCATACGATGTGGCTGCTTTTGAATGGCTATAGGACCTACCTAAACTCTGACCACTTGTGCTGACAGGGCACTGCATCCCTACTTTTTCAGGCATAACATTCGACAACCCCCTCACATGAACTATCGCCATGGCTGTTGATGAGAAAATCTAAACCGATCAAGATACTAATACAAGAATCCACACCAACCAGAAATACTAGGTTGACTGTGTGGAGCCGAGCAAGATAGGTGTGTGACTCCAGGGAGTCAACGAAGATGAATGTGTTAATGCATGGTGATGGATGAGGTTGGGACAGCTGTCCTAGAGAGTGAAATAAGAACTGGACCTTTTTTAAAAGTGGTTCGGCGGGAGAAAAACAAAGCCTACATCTACTGGTACTTTACTAGTGTAAAATGAGCAACAATGAAAAGAGTTCTTCTCCATTCTCCCTATTCTCCCTTTCATTTTTTCTTCCTTTCTATTTATATGGAGCACCGAGGATGTCATGATGACAGGCATGTCAAATAGGTCATCATGGTTGAAACGACGGTCGAAGGCTCACACGCCACTCAGTGGCGAACATGATGGTGTTTCCCTTGACAACAAGTGCTTTGGCAAGCTTTCCATCGACTTCATTATGTGATAAGCATGTGGGACTGGCTTGGCCATGTGTCACCGATCGGGGTAGGCAGTATACACATGGCAAAGTGGTCTTGTTGAGCAAAGAGATTGATAAATATACTGGGTTTCTTGCCCAGCTCGCCAAATGTTGCATTCATAGATGTTTGCCGATCATTCGTGCTTTCTCAGTTTATTTCCATTTCTGGGCTCGATACCTACCTGGTGTGGAGACGTACTCCGAGCTCTCCAACTGATTTTGGGCTAGCGATCTTTACCACACAACAATGGCAATTTGTTGAACAGAGCTTGCAAGATCAGGATATAGTCAAGGTACATACTCTAAGAGGTAAACAGGATAAGTATACCTTGAAACCACTCACAAGGGAGCTTGAAGTAGCAGCTTCGTAATCCAACTCAAGTACCTTCAAAATGTTGACCTTGGACCCCGAATCAATCAAACTCTTGAGAGTGTTCTGCCTTAGTGAGATATTTGAGTCCGTTTGAGTAGGGGGAGTTGAAATGCTGGTTTTCTAAGCCTTGGCAGAAGGAGCTTTAACTTTAGGAAAAATTGTGATACCCCGTAATTTTGAATAGTCTTATTAAGAATTTTGGTTGTAATTTAGGGGGCAAAGTGCAAAGATCCAGATCTGGCCGTTTCTATGGTCGTTTCATGACCAAAGACGTGGCTATGAAACTGTTATAGATTTCATTGTGAAACGGCCATAGATATAGTTGTTTCACGGCTGCCATTTCACTGCCAAAGATCTGACCTTTCACGGCCATATCTGGCTGTGAAACGACCATGGATTTGTGATCCATGGACAGAAATGGCTTTGTCGACACATGACTGACATATATTGCCAATCATGAGCTATTCCATCGACTAGTGGCGGCTGTCGGCGAGTGGTGGTTGGCTTCCGTCAGTGACTTGGGGTGGATGGGGGTGATATTGCTATAAATTAAAGTTTTATATGACTATGGTGTTTTAGCAAAATTTCAAATGTAGGGGGTTAAAAGAATGATTCAAAAAATAATATTATATTAATATTTAAAAAGGAGAGCAATTTAGTAATCTGTATAATATACTCACCCATTTATCCTCCTAACTAAATATATATTATTTATCAATTTATTCAAACCAACCAAATAAATTTTCTAAACATCCCCTGTTATCATTAAGGTGATCTATCTTTCCGCTAATATAACATTCTTCTATAATAAAACGTTATATGATCCAAATGCCCCCTTAAGGTTAATATTGGGCAACCACTCAGATAATCTCTAGGTGCATATGATTGAAGCTGGGGGATGACCTTTTAGATAGAATGACGGACCTCTATACGGTGCTCACCCAAAACAGCAGGTTTGGAACAGTACCTAGTAAAGAATAGGTGATGAAAAGAGTGGCTGAAAATTGGAAATAACGGCGCAGAACTGGGCAACAAGAAAGAGGGAGCTTGAGGAAATTTTTGTGTGTCAAGAAGTGACTGACTCCTCTGTTTATATGATGTATAATATGACCCGTTATGTCATATTTTTATTACAATTAAACTGCTAAAAAGGTCTCAGAATTTAATCCACCAAATAAAAACCGTTGATGGATTTAATATGATTTTGAATTCAAAAATTAGAAATTGAAACTCCAATTGAATTTCTGGAAACTAAAATTTCATTAATATAATTGAAAATAAAATTTGGTTACAAAAAAATAAATAAATAAATAAATTCAAAAATCACAAGAATTCCAAAATTAATTCCAGTTCAAACAAGCAAAAAAAATTAAAAAAATGAGCAATAATAACAATGTTCAAGAAGAAAAATAGCAGTGAAAATGATGAGCAGTAGCATCAAAGTCAAGGCGCGCAATAGAGGCGATGTCCTTATGATCAATATTGTGATGATGTGGCTTCTCATTTGCCATGGTGGAAGTCAGCCTATTTTGTTAAGAGTCAAACATGTGATGGGATGACGTTTTGGCTAAGTCCAATTAGTTATTGCATTTGTTCGACTATCACACTTTGAAGTAGCCTCCACTTCTCTCTTCTCTGTTTTTGTTCGACAGCTCATGACACAAAGAGAAAGTTACAGAATCGATTTCGTCTTACAGTTATGGAATAATCAAAGACAGGTGGATGACGATCAAGGAAGGGAGCATGTGTATTTAACACATGCTGATGCTGAAGAAAGGGGCATATTTCATATTGCAGAAAAACCTAGGGTTTTTGGATTTGGGTGTGTTCTTTCCTTATTTTGTAATCTTTTATGTTCTGATCTGATCATTACTCTGTATTGTGTTGATTGATAATGGAATACCCTATTATGAACCTTGGAGAGTGGATGTAGGCTGCAAAGCTGAACCACTATAATTGCTATGTCTTGATTGTGCTTGGTTGATT